TTTGCATCTGATACGTTTGGCTCTTGCCCTGTATGGAGTGGAGAGGCAGGTGCTTGCAGTAGCTACATGATGGTAAATGCCTTCAAATGGCTCTTTTATACTGGTTCTTTTCACTCATGTTGCTCCTAATTTCAAAAACACCCCGTTTGTTCACATTTATGGATATAGACCAGGCAAATTTGTTTTTAGTCAAAGGTCTTTCATGCCTTTGCACCAGAGAAAAATGCTTGAACACGATGGAATATAAGGTTAGAGAGAAATGTGATGCCCCAGACGTCAGATCTCTCCTGTGTCAATCTGTCTGAGCTTCTGTTCTGATGTCGCAGATGTATGGTGGAGATCAAAGTGAAGGATCTCTGAGCAGTAAACCCATAGTGTTCATGAGTCACCCGTCATCAATGTGCATCAGCTTAACTCATGCCAAACAAACCATCACTCACACAACCACTGAGCTGAGCTGCTCCTCATATGAGTTGGAGCCAAAAGGTTATCAGAAACGGTCAGTTAGGTACAGAGACATGCAGGTGGGTGTTCATGACCACCCATAAAACTCTATCACCGCAACTGTATCAATACCAGCTCAGACCCCGGGGCTCTGTGTGCACTTGGCTTGGCATACGAAGGCTTTGTGAATTGCAACAGCCCTAGAGGAAATGGATTGGTTCTGCCTGAACCATATGGTGGATTCCCCTGCTGCGGCTCGGTCCAAAGCCCTACAGCACCAGTGAGGGAAGAGCGACACTCTTACTGCTCGGATTGTCAATGTGTTCACAACACCTGGGACCTATGCCTACAACAACTAGAGGAATGGGTAAGAGGGAGCAGTGCTGCTTTGGCAGAGATATTTATGTTTTACTAGATATCTAAAAAAGAGACAGACAGACAGACAGATACCCTACCTGAAAGCGACAGACAGATGAATAGATAGATAACCCCAAATAGATAGATAGATACCCCTGAAAGTGACAGACAGATGGATAGAGATAGATACCCTAAAATGATAGATAGATACACTATCTGAAAGTGATAGATAGCTAGATACCCTATCTGAAAGCGACAGACATACAGATGGATGGATAGATTGATACCCAAAAATGATAGATAGCTAGATACCATATCTTAAAGTGATAGATATCATTTCTGAAAGTGACAGACAGATGGATAGATACTCTATCTGAAGCAACAGACAGCCAGATTGATAGATATACCCTAAAATGACAGATAGATAGATAGATAGATAGATACCGGTAGATACCCATATCTGAAAGCGACAGACAGACAGATGGATGGATACCCAAAAATGATAGAGATAGACACCCTATCTGAAAGCGATAGATATCATATCTGAAAGTGACAGACAGATGAATAGATAGAGACCCTACCTGAAGTAACACAGACAGATGGATAGATACCCTAAAATGATAGATAGATAAATGGTATTGGGGTATTGTATGGTATAAATGGTATTTGGTGGTGGTTGAGGGGATTCCCCCCTTCCATGTAAAGCGCTTTGAGTACCCAGAAAAGCGCTATATAAATGTAACAAATTATTATTATTATTATTAAATCATATCTAAAAGTGATGGCCTAGATAGATAATCATAGGCCTATCTGGTGGGCTAGATCTGACAGATATTTGTATTTAGTTATTGTCATATTTAAAAGAATAACTTGTGGAAAACACTTTATTTCGCATGAAGAATTACGCATGCAGTGTTGAATATGTTTGTAGCCTACAATTGGCTTTATGCACAGCTTCACTACTTCCTGAACTTTAGCCAGCTCCTTTGTTTCCTGTCTGCCATTATTGGACAAACTGATTAATCCAGGTGTGCCTGGCCTCAGTCACAATAATCAGGCACACCTGGATTAATCAGTTTGTCCAATAATGGCAGACAGGAAACAAAGGAGCTGGCTGAAGTTCAGGAAGTAGTGAAGCTGTGCATAAAAGCCTATTCAGTACATTTGACTTGGAAGTCAACCGCTAATTCAGTGGAACCGCTAATTCCAATTCAACTTCTTAGTGTTGAGCATGTTACTTAAACAAAGTAATTAGTTATAGTTACTAGTTACTTCTCACAAATAGTAACTGAGTTAGTAACTGAGTTACATCATTATAAAAGTAACTAATTACCAAAGAAAGTAACTATTGCGTTACTTAAAAAAAAAAAAAAAATCAAATAGGCCTATGTCAAATAATTTGGATGCCCCCAGTATTAAATATGTTAAATTAATGAAATGGACACTTAATAGTGTAGATTAGTGTTCAATGTTTTATAATAATAATTTATACTATTTTAATGTTGCTGTGGGACAATGTGAGAGACGCCTATTAAATTCAATATATTATTCTAAATATTAGCATTACTATAGTAGAACAATAAAACATTATAGATGGTTTACTTAATATCGCACAGACCCCAACTGGCCAACAAATAAGTTTAAAAATAAATTATGCTTCTTAAGAAATGTACCAAAAATGAATAAATAATAATAAAAAATATGCATACTCTTTGTGCATATTAAAATGATAAAACTGTTACACAACTTCACAACTAGTAGACATACTGTAGCCTGAGTATTTTCTTCCTAACAAAAGTAAACAGTTTAACAAGTGCTCTCTTAATATAATACTGAACAATTTACCAAAAAAAAAATATATATAATACTAAAATATAATATTTTGGGGGTTTATTTTTATAATAGCGAACGTCATCATCAGAGATTATTTAAGCCAAATTCTAGACATGTTTGCCGCACGTGTTTACAACCGGTCAAACAAATATGTTTTCTGTGAATGTTCCCTGCAGGTTATTTTCGGGTTTATTTTATAACCTAAACAGAACGTTACCTGACGGTAATTTTTTAGATTTTACTTGTATAACCCTGTTAATTAATTAACGTTGCAGATATGTGTCATTTATTTATAAACAAACTATATAATGCTCGGAGTCGGACACCCTCGGTCTCTCTTGCGCAACTGTTGAGCGCGCTCTCGGACACATTCGGTCTCTCTCGCGCATTGAGCGCGCTCGCGCCAATCGCTTCGCTTTTGTCCACTCCGGCGCCTCATAAACACACACACACACACACACACACACCAGAGAAAAAAACTTTGCAGGTCCTATGGCGGAGAGAGAGCCTACTCGGATGAAAGCCGCTTCAGTGAGTTCAATTATAGTAACGCCACATTTTTTTTGTCAGTAACGGTAACTGCGTTGTAACGGGGGAAACAGTAATTCGTTTGATTACTCGTTACTGAAAAAGATAACGCCGTTAGTAACGCCGTTTATTTATAACGCCGTTATTCCCATCACTGCGGGCGTGTCCAATTCGATTCATACTCACGCTTGCTCCAGTTTATCTCAATTTTGAATTTTGCACAGCACTGGTTGACATGATAAACCCGGTAAACCATTTAGATTGGTTTACCGGAATTGGTTTTAGATTGGTTTATTGAAATTCATTTAGATTGGTTTATTGAAATTCAATTGGTTTAACTCTTTCTTGGAAGGTTATAACAAGGTTATAACCTTCCAAGAAAGAGTTAAAGCCAAACCTATTGTATTTCAGGGTGTACTTCACAGGATCCCCGATTCCCCGCACACAGTCCCTGAGCTGGAACATGTCCACTCTGCTTACCTGCGGGCACAGACGGTCTCCAGGCAGCCGGTAATTAGCAGCACTGCAATCTTTGATGAAACATTTTACCGCTCAAAGTATTTCTGTTATCGCCACCGGAAGATAACCGACACATCTTTCAGAGTCATTGGTTTTGCTTTCAGCATTTTAAAACATCTTTGTTTCGGCACCCACACACACATTCAGGCACACGCAAACAAAGTCTACAGCTTTTCCCATAGATGATGCGGAGTGGGCTCGTTACCAAGGCGACGGTTACTTTCCATATCCAATATGAAATATATGCGCTTACAGTAAGACAGGCACAGAATAACAAAAGTTACAGCAGAATACATGTACTATGTTTCCCACACAAACAAACAGGAATATCACACCAACAGAGTTCTGAGCGCTAAGAAAATTCTGATTGGTGGTTTGATGTTATTTTGGCATTGGGGGGTGAATGTGGAGCGAATGCAGTTCCTGCCGTCGTGTGACAGCAGCTGTCATGTCTGCGGGGAAATAGCCGCGTGGAGCTCGCATTTAGACTCGCCCGTGTCATGAAATTACAGCAGGCATCACGTGAGCTTGCTCATACTTCTTTATTTTTCTACAAAAATATTTCACCTTATAAAAGACAGCTCAGAATGTACATTGTTTTTGCAACTGCCATAGAAGTTTTTACCTTAAATATATATGTATATGTATATTTTTATATATAGTATAAGCATTTATTTCCATATGTGATCAGAGTGCACTCTCAGCAGCCCAGGATACGAGTCAAACATATTCCCAGTCTATTTCTCAATGTCCTCAGCTCTCTCTGACTGGGAAAAGTGTTGGAAAGACTGTAAGAAGACCAACATTAGTATAAACAAAGCTGTGAAATGTTTCTAGCTGTGGTGATCCAGGCATTGTGAATCCAGCATCATGCATGACCTTGAACTAAACATCAGTGGTGTTTATTACAAAAATACAGTTGACTGCAATCAGTAACTGTCATTGCTTTAGAGTGATGTGGTGTATATTACTAAAACAGTCAGTATTGAAGACGAGAGTAAATATAATTGCTTAGAACAAGGCAGAATAATAAGAAAAAGATGCCAAGACACTGGGAATAGGTGGATCAGACGGAAGAGACGTTCCAATTAGAAACCCGTAAAACAAGTATGGATTACGCTTTTAGAAGAAAAAGTGGCAATAAAAAACGAGAGACTGGATTCTTAAAGCACCTGGAGCGAAGGAAGGTTAAGCTTGTGACTTATGGTATCCCATGATGCCTCTGAACTGCAGCCAGCAGGAAACCCTATTTGTGAGATTTCCGCCACCTTCCCGATATCAGCAATATTACTACAATCGCTATCATTATCATCATGATCATTATTATTACTGGCTCTGGATATGCCTCAGAAAGCTAGTTACTATATCTCTTGATATTCTGAAACACAAAATTATTACATAAATCTGATTATTTATTACATAAATCTTGATAATGATTATTTTCAGGTTTTGAATACTACTACCAATAAATTTTTTTGAATGTTAGTGATGCTTGCCTGTGCAAAACACGTTGCCACGATGGGCGTTTAGACTAATTTGTAGCATTTCATATGGATGTATTCCAAGTCTCTGATATTTTGGGTCCTAAATATGGCTTGTATCATATTTTTTCGCTTGCTTTATTGTCTGCCAGGCGAAGTTGTAGGTCTGATAAATTAATAGCACACCTCAATGAGCGGCACCATTTAAGATATAATTTAGGCTACGTCTGTGTGAGATAAATTATGTGCTGAAGTCTAATATTTGGGATTGAGATAGCAATAGCAAGCATCACTAATAATAATGATGATGATGATAATAATAATAATAGAATGTCCAGTTTCCAGAAAAAGGCGACAACAAAAGCATCAACCAAAAAAAAGAAAAAGTGATCCAATCCCTCTCTTGATTGAAGTGCTGAGTCCATTCCATCAGTCGGGTGCAGGCGAAAGGCTGTTTCAGAGCCTCTCATTGCTCTCTTCACCCACAGGCTGCTGTATGTTCTGCTCCTTGAGTCTCTTTGAGTACAGGCCTGTGGCTCTGCCCTTATCAGAGAGGAGCAGAGGGGAGAGCGAACGTCCAGAGTGGCGCTAACACCCAGGCGGACGAGAGGGTCAGTCGCGTCCCCAGCGGGGAGGCTGAGTCCGAAGTGCAGGAACAAACCTCGTAGCCATTTTCTGCATGATCTGCGTGGTGCTGCCCGTGAAGCCTCGTGTTCGAGTTGTTCTGCATCTCCGGGGAGTCCGACTGCATTTCCGTGCACACCAGCCAGTCCTTCCCGATGGGACGCGGATAACCTGCTTCAACCTCCATATCGCTGCCCGCCACACGCCAGTACTCCTTCCCCTTGAAGAAATATGATGCACCTGGGTAGAAAGAGCAGAAAATACAAGGAAATAAAATACAGGTCGATGATTGCGCAGAATGGATTTTTCCAGACCTGCTTTCATATACAGATCATTATGGTTCTACGTTTCCCTCTATGGCTTTTGTCAACTCTATTTCCTGTTTCGGAGCTACTTCTCTCAGTTTATGTCTATGACGAGTCACGCAGGTACTGGATTACTCCGCAGCGGTACGACCCGAACCAGTCTAAAATATAAACACATTATAGGTGTACCGTAGTGATTCAGGATAAGACAAAAACACGGTTTGGAAAATGGATTCATGATGTGGATTATTATACATTTTTAACATTTTAAACACAAAAAATTCATAACAATCAAATAACTAAGGGTTAACTGAGGGAACTCCAGGGGGTTCATGAGTTGATAAAAAGCTAGTCATAAAAATGTCAAAGTTTTATATATTTTATATGTTTACCTGCACTTCACCAACATTTATTACAATATTTAAAGTAAATATCTTAGGTCAAAGGCTGTCAAAAAAAAGTTTGGAAATTCTTTATTTAACTGATTGTAACTGACATTTATACACATGTCTATACAATTTTTTTTTTAAAAACAATTACACAATGATTGCATAATTTTTAAAGAGCTAGTTAAACAAAAATTGTAATTACATTTCAAAACATGCATGAATTTCTTTTCATGAAAAACATATCTTAGCCATTTTTCTGTACAATGAAAGTTACAATGTTATCTTTTAAAAGCGCATTAATGGGTGATTAAATTTCATTAATGTTAATCAAATATTTGTGGTATCATGGAAAAAAAATTGAATACATTTTTCCTATAGAAATTTGGTTTTGACTTGTACCAAATTTGGTGTTATTACCATGGATTTTAAAGTATGGTTCCTTGGTGATTTTGTTTTGGAAACCTTAAAAAATTTTAACTCGATTTTTCTCAAAATTTCGATTTCAAACAGGTGTATCTCATTTTTGGTCTGATTCCAACATTTTTGAAGTTTTTTTTAATAGAGAATCAATGTGAAAATAACGATAACTAATTGTTGAAAATTTGCTCATTGCAACACATTTTGCAAGCACGGGTCACATTTGGTCTTTTCCTCACATGAAGCCATCAGATCACAGGCTCATACGGATTACTTTTATGCTTTTTTTCTTTTTGGGAGCTTGAAAGTGCTTGGTCCCCATCCACTTTCATTATATGGAAGAGAGCAGCTTAGATATTCTGCCAAATATCACCTTTTGTGTTCCAAAGAAGAAAGTCTTATATGGGTTTGGAATGCTGTGAGAGTGAGTATATGATGACAGAATGATATATTTTTAAAACTTATTTCTTTAACACTCTACTCATCTGACAGTAAATCATGTTTTTTGGGGGATGAGATGAAACATGAGACAATAGCCCAGATAGAGTCTAGAAACTGAACCAGAGCTTTACTATCTCTCTCTGTCTCACTCTGCAGGTGAAATGGGCCATCAGTGCTGTCTATTCGAGCAGGATACTGTTGCCAGCACCTCCACAGGCTTAATAGTTCCTCGCTCCCGTGGAGGCCGGGGACTGTCACTTTAGTGTGGCCTGCCCTCACTCCTCGTTCAAAGCTCTTCCTGTGGGGCTAGCAAAGCCTCAGAGAACAACACCTGATGAGACAACTTCTCTGCCCCTCATTCTGCCTACAGAGTCACCACAGCAGGGAAGAAGATCTGGTGCATCAAGTGGAACCTAAAGGTCCGTTCACACAAAGAACGATAACTGACTGTAAAGATAACTATAATGATTAATATATTTGCGTCCACACCAGGGTGCGATGACATCGTTCTGTTTATTCTAAGAGCGCTGCAGTTTTGTCGTCTGCCTCTTTAAATTCTTGAGCTCTTTTAAGCAGAATGGATTCTGACTGGCTGTCAATGTTTTTATCGTTCATCCGCTGAAAAAAATCATTCTGAAAGTGATTCCAACAATATAGTTTCTCAGTGCCGTTTTCATTATGGTCGTGGTGTGGACTCTGCAATATATTCTTTTGTACGTAAAATTATTTTTAGAGCTATATTTTTATCGTTATAGTTATCCTAAAGATGGTTAAAACTGAGCTTGTAAGGGAATTACCAATATGCAAAACTGCAAAGATGATTTTTTTGGGGGATAAAACAGCGCAAACTTGCCATTTTATACATTTGGCATGAGATAAGGAAAAAAACAACAAGAGATGACACAATGACCAAAAAAACATTCACCTGCATGTCTTTATAGGTTAACATTATGCATAATATGCTAAATAACTGACCTTCACATTCATACAAACGATAGTATGTTTCACTCTTGCTTCACTTTTTCAAAATGCTTCAATGCTAATTACAGGTAGTGGATGTAATTACTTTGTTGGAATACCACACATAAATGTCCTAATATATCACTGAAACATGCATCCTGATAAATCATACTCATCTATGTGACCATCCTAAACTCTGCGGAAAGAAAAAGAAAAGGGGGGAATGGCCTGCACTTCTTTCCTATCACAAATAGGCTTTCATGTCAAACCTTTAGCATATTTGGATTTGCTGATATTGGTATGGTTAATTGAATCTTTGCTTTGAAGCTTTGCTTTTTTTTAAAACAGGCTTCTTGTGATCCACCACAAGATCCACCGCAGCTGCCTGGTCTTCATCCTTGAGGACACCACGAAGAGCTCACTGTGCATTAGACACAATGCTGTGCATTAGGCATGGCAGGACATTATGCCCCTTTCTCCATTCTGCTCACATAGAGCTCAAAACTGCTGCTATGACAACCACACAAATAAAACACCTGCATGGCTAACAGCCTCTCCATCCAAGTAAAACCCTTTCTTCCAAGGCGGATTAGCGTTATACAACTATACACAGTCCCTTTATATGATGTATAAAGCTTTAAGTTTAAAGAGTCGTTTTTTGAGATGCTACTAGATATGTATTGCATATGATGGAAGATAATATTAGCACACATTTGAATTTTAGGAGGAAAGTGGTTAATTTAATGATGATTTTTATGATTTAATGATCATTTCAGAATGTTTGTTTACACCAAGTTCAAATAGGCTAGCCTGCCTTGTTGGCAGAGGCCATTTACACTAACTCCACTTACCATTGTCTGATTGATGACAAAATCATTGTCTTGATTAGACAAAATGATAAAAGAAACACATCCGATAACAGGAGAAGTGGCGTTAGGTTTTGACATGCCTGACCCGAGTTTGAACCAGCCTTTTCCTGAACTCATTCTTCTCCCTTTTCCCATTGCATATCAGCTCAGAGCAGCATTTATTTTAAATAAAAATAAAGAAAATATGATATTTATTAAATATCATATTAAAGTGGGCATTTAATAATGGGAATAAAGTGTTTAACGGGTAGGTGTAGGGGAGGTAATGTCAAGTAAAGTTCCCAATAAAGCAGCATCCATTTATGATTTAAATAAATATAACTGAATATGTTATTGCATAATTTGATACAATACACTGAGGTGCAAATAGTATCTGCCACTATTTGCACAAAGAATAAACAGCATCTCACTACTATTTACACTTCATGCAAAAGAAAATACTGCTATTTTAGCATCTAAGGCTAAATGTAGTGCAAATAGCCGCTGCCTTTTTAATTTCTTAATAAGCTCAGTATTCTTTCCTGTTTTTGATTGTTGTTATTGTTAACTAAAACTATTAAAAATTGTTTTCGTTCATTGAGATAAAAAAGAAATAGAAGATGAAAAACTAAAACATAAAAAAACAGCTAGAAGTGTTGTCTTGGCGACTAACAGAAATAAAACATGTTTAAGTTGAAGTACTAAAATGACTAAAATTGAAACAAAAATAAATGAAAGCTAAATGAAAAAAAAAGCTTAAACTAAAATTAAAAAGAAAGCTGATACAGAAATAAGACTGATACGGAAGTTCTCTCTTTTTAAAATACCCAACAGATTTTGGCTTGTCACAGCCTGAAAAAACAAACACAATTTGCTACTCTCTATTACTAGTTTGAGGCATTTATAAGCAGTAATTATTATTTATGTGGAGGGGATGTTCTAATTTTATCAGATTTTATCATCATTTGATTGGACATCTGTGTGTAGAGAATGAGACATCAACAATTTCAATCGACTACAATCAAAATATTTATATCTGCTAAAAGCTGATTTTGTCAACTTTTAGGAGTACATTTTGTATAGCTATACTCTTCCCTACCTAGTTAAACAGCTAACCGGGATAAACTAGCATGGAAATTCAAGTCTGTTTTTTTTCCCCAGGGAAAGGAAAAGGTTCATTTCTTGTGGTCCTAAAAAATAAGATCCAGGAGAGCTGCTTAAAATTCAAGAGACCTAATACGATTCACAATGCTTACTGTCAGACCACCGCATGGCATCATCCAGTTGGGATGGGATCCCTTTCCACAGCGCCGTGTCTTTTGGGTAGCCGAGGTCCATGCGATGCAGATGGTCATCGTAACGCCAGTAACGGTTGTCCTTGAAGAAGTACGTCTTCTCGTTGTGCAGCCAAACAAATACTGCATCTACTCCTTCCAGGGGCAGCCCAAAGTCACCGACAGACCGTGGGTAGCCCTCTTCAACGTTATTGTCCTTGAACACCCAATATTTCCCTCCTAAAAAAGTGAGAACAACTTCTTGTAATGTGTGAAAATTGTAAAGGCTTTCTTTACCAGCAGACCAGATTAGAAAACACAGACCTGCTGTGAAATACATTTTAGTGCTTTAAATATTTAATGTTCTTTTTACCTTTGTGCTTTTGAGCTTCAAAACACTCTTGCGTTATATCTTTGAAGGACATTGTTCGCTTTATAGTGAAAACTCTTATTAAAAATGACATTTACATAACTCGAGAGCTTTAAATTCCAATCATTTAGAGAATTTTTGTAAGAGTGAGTGTTTATGCTCTAGGGAGCATTTTGCTTAAAATGTCTGGAATTAACTACACAATCATTTTGAAATACTGCACGAAAGCAACAAACAGTGTGAAACTAGATTTGGACATTTTCTTAAGGAAATGTGTTCCACAAAACAACACCACAAGGCCAAAGTGTTTTGAGTGGTTGCTATTTCTATCTATTCTTTTCTATATATTTCAGTTAAAACAAACAGCTGGCATAGCAAATACTAAATACAAGTTATTAATTTAATAAGATATAATTTCTCATATAGTCAATGTGCTGTATACTTATTCACATTATAACACCTGTTTTAGCTTCTTTACATTGGTTACCTGTTTTATATTAAGATTGGTTTGGACATATAAAGCTTTAAATGGTTTGGCACCTATATATTTAACTGAGATACTGAGACCTTATGAATCAGAGAGATGTCTTAGATCTTCTTTTAACAAGCTGCTGGCTGTTCCAAGAACTAGATACAAAACTAAAGGAGATAGAGCCTTTGTGAGGGCTCCAAAACTAGATGTGAGACGCTGCTGATGTGTGCCCGAGCTTCATTTACAGTCTGAGGGAGACGCACGCTGTAAACAAAACAATCTTCGCAAACATGTCTAAGGATTTCGACACAGAGACTTGCATTTTTTTGCCCAGCCATATTCATTTGAACCCGAATACACGGATACACGTCAGCAGCGTCTTACATCATCAGCGTCACTGAACGCGATTTGACAACAGAACCGGAAGACAATACAATGCTGAATAAAGTCGTAGTTTTTGTTATTTTTGGACCAAAATCTATTTTCGATGCTTCAAAACATTCGAACTAACCCACTGATGTCACATGGACTACTTTGATGATGTCTTTATTTCCTTTCTGGACAAGGACAGTCTATCGTACATACATTTTCAATGGAGGGACAGAAAACTCTCGGACTAAATCTAAAATATCTTAAACTGTGTTCCGAAGATGAACGGAGGTCTTACGGGCTTGGGACGACATGAGGGTGAGTCATTAATGACATAATTTTCATTTTTGGGTGAACTAACCCTTTAAATCGTGTAAAGCACTTTGTGGATTGTTGCGTTAAAAGTGCTATATAAATAAAACTGTACTTACTTACCTTCATATAGCCACCTACAACCTAACCACGAGCACTAATCTTTAGCACACTGGTAACCACAAAAACTTAATATACATAACAGAAACTTATTTAAAGGTGCAGTATGTAATATTTACAGCTAGGCTGAAATGGGCATTTCAGTCCAAATTCTAAATATTGGAAAGAGTTGTTTCCCCCACCCCATCAGACTCAGCACTCATGCAGGTTGCTAGATTGAGGACATGTAACAGGAACAAGCGCAATTGACAATGGAAATCGACGAGTTTTACACTACAAGTTGTAATTTTTAGGTCAGGTAGAATCTGCGATTTCTGACCCTGTTCATTTGCTCACTGCAATACTCTGTTTTCCATTAACGGGCAACCCGGGGTGTATATAACCCGCAGTGGGCGGAATCACACAGACCAAAACAAAAAAATACATTCTGACACGGAACACACATTTCAAAGTAGAATAACTGGCTGTAGCATTGTTTTTTTTTTTTGAGAAACAAGTATTTGAACTTTATAAATCTCTATAAACACATTATGGTACTTTAATGCTTTAGGAAGGTAAACATAATAGATACAGCACCTTTAAATGTCAAACATAACAGCATTAAACACTAACAGGTTTTTCCCTTTACTAAAAAATACATAAAATAACACTAAATTTCAATTTAGTAATCAACACTAAATTTTTCAAAGTAATCAAGACAATTTCATTAAGTTACTGTAACTTATTTTCTTATTTATTTCTTAAATCAAGTTTCAGTTTAAAATACTCAACAATATTGTTGATATAAAGTTGATCGACATAGATCCCCCTCAAAATAATGTTTGCAACAAGGTTTAATTAAATCAATAAAAAAATTTTTTTTCATTTGCAACAAAGCATTTATTTAAGGTATATTTTAGAAATGTTATATTTTTTGGAAAAAGTTTACATCTGCTGCATGACTTCAGGTACCATTCATGTCTGTAGCATGTCTATAACAGTTCAGAATGAGTTATGTGCCAAAGTGTAATACTTAAGGTGAGACAAACCAGTCATAATGTAGTAACAAATATGCAAAAGGTGTATTGAAGGGAGATGTTAAATCATAATTTAATAAAAGGTTGAATTCAGGCATTTACCTTTAAAGAACACTATCTTATGGTCTCCAGGTCTCTCATATACAGCATCCACACTGTCCAGGTTGGCAGGAAGACCTCTCCAGAAGCGATGGATCTGAGCTGGCCTTAACGACACCAGGTGCTTTTCACGTGTCAGACGCCAAAAATACTTCCCTGACGAGAGGTTTGAAGGTAAGAATGTGTGATTATTTGTGTGTTTATGTAAGCTTATGGTGTAATTATGTGCTATCACATGATGTATGAGGGACATCGGTTAAATAAAGCGAGGAATTGCTGCCTGCCCTGGGGCAGTGGGTAGGAGTGTACCCAGCTGGCAGAATCAGCCAAACAAATACAACGCACAAATGATGATGTATCAAAATGCAAACAGCACATTAATGGCTAAACAGGAAAACAAAACAATTTAACAGCAGTTCAAGAAATTCAATAGTGCCCGACAAAACCGATTTGAAGTTTGATAATGATAATTACTTTCTTTATCAATATTTCAAGATACATTTACTTAAAGCTGTTGTAGGTAACTTCTGTAAAAAATAATTTTTTAAATATTTGTTAAAACCGTCATTATGTCCTGACAGTAGAATATGAGACAGATAATCTGTGAAAAAAAATCAAGCTCCTCTGGCTGCTCCCAGTGGTCCTATTGCCATTTGCAGAAATACACGCTCCCGGTCAGAAACAACCAATCAGAGCCAGGAGGAATGTCTTAGCAGTGTCAATCACGCTCGTGTACGCGCTGATCACACCCCTCTCTTGCACAGCGCGTACCGTCGTTCAAACTCAAGATTGCCGGTGTGCCACAGCTGTGCTAATGGCGGAGAAACAACCTAAACGGCCAATTCTCGAGTGGCACCTGCTCATAAAACAAAGACAGGTAAAAGGAAAAAGACCGATGACGATAAACAAGCGAAAAAGAAAGAATTAGACAGAGCCCATTGACTCGGTGTCAAAACTCTAGCCACGTAACATGTAGATAAAATGTCACGCACTGTGCAAAGCAACGATTGAAACCTGCTAATTCACAGGCTTGTCATGTTGCTGAAATAATGTACTAGCAAACCTTATCTAGCATTATGCCTACATATCGCTAGAATAATTACTTACATACTGTTACGTTAGTAACCGTTATATTATCTTACTAGCTATTTATAACTTATAAAAAAAGGGTGCAACGTTATAAAGTTACATCACATGTTTTGCAAAATACGTAATGATTTGAGGACCAAGTTTGTAGTCAAAGTCAATGTAAAGCATATTGTTGATGTTTCGTCCCTACTAGTGAATGTGCCATAACTGTTTATCTGCCGTCATCGGTGGCCCTGCTTACTAGCCTGCGTGTTCACGGCAGGCTCCGCTGTGGAGGACGAGCTGTGGAGGGAGGGCTGTAGCGCAGCAGAGAGCAAGGGGGTGGGACCTTTAAGTTGTGCTCGTTCACATTTTCAGGCTAAGTCAACGTTTTCTCAAAACTCCCTACTGCAGCTTTAAGAAGCAAATATTTACTTAATATTTTATTTCATTTTAAATAAAATAAAATAGAATAAAATAAAAAAGTGTATCTTGATAATATAATATTATATTATCATCACATAATATATCTTCTTACCCCAATGGCAAACTTTTTCTTCCTTGTTTCAATAAATAATGGGGTAAGAAAATTAAACTTAAAGTTAAAAAAGTAACCTAAAATTCAAGATATGTTGCCTGACAACAAGAATATTAATAATATATTAATATCAATTTTAGTCATAATATATAATGCAATTATGCATTCAATTCAATTAATTTTCTTTTAAAAATGTCAAAATATTAGAAAACAAGTTTATTGTTTAATCACACAAAAGGATGTAGAACCTCATACATTGTCAGTTGCTAGTATCTATTGATTTCACTCTGGACTTCTGGGTGTTCTTACCTTTGAAAAAGAAGGCCTCCCCTCGAATCTGGGCAACAGCATCAAAGTGGCTAGTGCATCGGTCAGGGGCATCACGGTCAGGTCTATGAGAAAATACAAAGAAAAAAGAGATAGATAAACTTTACCAGGAGTGTGAAGGTAGAGCAAAAGACATTCTCTAGTAGAAGTATTTGTGTTTCTACCAGGGTCGTGCGGTCCCAAGCCAGTTGTGGACTAGCTAATTAATAATAACACTAGACATTACTATAAATTCCCTTGTTTGATGTGTTCCATAAAGCTTACATGATCAAATATTGGTAACACGTATGTAACTGTCCGCCATTTATTTATTTGCCAAACGACAAATTTTCTTTAAACCTGTGCCAGTTACGGAGGGTTTCAGGTAAGCGGATCCACAACAGGATTTCATGTGCAGGGAAAGCTGTCTGCGAATCGCTCGCCCAAATGGAGAAATGTGCTGTTGCTGCCAGATCTCCATCAACGAAAATCACATTGTATTTGTTACTAAACTAACTAGACTAATGGTTTTTTTTTTTTAAATTACTATTTTCATTGTATTTCATTTTCTCCATAGGGAAATTTATTAAGTGATGAAGTTTTTAATCAACAGTCTGTGTTTGTTAAAGTCATCAATTTGCATAATTTCAACTTGCTTATATTTACTTATAATACTTGTATTTTTATTTATTATAGGCTACTTATTTATTATAATTTACTTATTTTTTTATTTATAATTGGCTACTAATATGTATAATATTATACTTATTTTTAATTCTTAATTTAAAAAATACGTCCAGCAACTTTCCTAAGCCGATGCGCTGTACCATTTAAAGGGGTGGTATAATGCCCTATTCACAATATGTAAAATAATTCTTTGATGTCCCCAGAGTGTGTATGTGAAGTTTTAGCTCAAAATACCCCCCAGATATTTTTATATAGCATGTTAAAATTGTATCTTTTTGAGGGTGAGCAAAAACGAACCGTTTTATGTGTCTGTCCCTTAAAATGCAAATGAGCTGTTGCTCCCGGCACAAAGCAGCTTCAACAGCTTGTGTCCTTTTAAATTTCAAAAACTTTTAGCCTTTTATGTTCAAACCGGAGTCAGACAATGATGGAGAGACTAAGAAGAAGTGACAACATGTAGAATGCAACAGGACATTTCTGAATGGTTAGTCGATGAATTTATTTAGCTGATGTGTCATTGATTCTTCTAGTCATTGATTAGCATATTCTGTCATGATAATCTATAAATCTCATTTCCGGGGGTGGGCGGGGTTTATGTAAATTTTAGGGTTGGTGATGTCACTAATCCGGGAAGAATGTGGTGTAGTCCCTACCAGCCATTTGTTGTAGTCCTTAAAAAGCAATTTAAAAAAAGAAGAAAATATCTCCCTTTGCTTTGAACTTTGAGCATTGTTACTTTGCAGAATGTTGTTTATGCTCAAACAGCAACATTACACACTAACTAAAGTTAGAAAAGTGAAATCATAATCAACCACCCCTTTAAAGGTGATGTAGTTTATTTATTTATTTGCACAAGTCATACATAAATGTTTATTCATTCATTCATTCATAACGTGCCTGAATGAAAAAAAAAAATCTTACAGTACCTGTTGCTTATTTGTGCACATAGAAAACAAAAAACAAAACAAAAAAACAGCTGCTTTATGCATGGACCACCCCAATCACCAAACATTTTCAGTAATACCTATCTTTAAACTTAATTATCATCATTTTAAGCGGGTTTATCATCATTTTTCTTGTAACATTCCTGTATTTTTTCCTTATACAAATTCTTAAATTTACAAACACTTTTAGTTCCCGCGACACTAGTGACAGTAGCGGAATTACAAAAATTATTTCAATACTTTTAGGCTACTTTCAATAAAAGGTCCAACATATTAGAATTACTTTTAGCTGTTTTGTTATGCGTCATGAGAGTCAGAAACTGAGTAGCCAACTAACACTCTTGTCCAGAGCGAACGCGAGGGTTTTGATTTTTTATCTGTTGGTATGTGATAGAATCCATGATTGCCATGTATCTGAACAAGATGTCCAGGACCTCCAGCAGAAAAATAGACACACAACGATTAAGATCCATTAGTATATTTAATCGTACACATGGGGTACTTTTTTGTGTGCAACAGACCCGTGGGCTTGCTGCCAAAAAGCTCTTTTTTGTTTGTTTAATCTGACCATAGAACCCAGTCCAGTTTGAAGTTCCAGTAGTGTCTGACAACTGATTGTGCAGGAGTTTGTTTTTGGATGAGAGCAGAGGATTTTTTTGAAACCCTCCCAAACAACTGATGTAGATGCTGTTTGATATATTTTTTTTAAGGCCAAGACTCAACAGGAAACAGGAAGTCATGACAGGATAATTTCATGTTCCTAGTCACCCTGGTAAAAAAAAAAACTGTAAATAGGAAGGGAATATACTTCAGAGATATTTTACGCACAACACTTTCTAGGGGTACCAATAATTGTGGCCAATGTGTATTAGAGAAAAACTTTTATTTCATAATGTGAAATAACCCCCCCCCCCCCCCCCCCACCCCCACAACATTAATTTGTTTTACTTCAATGAAAGTTTAGATTTCTGTGATGTTTTTTTGAAAGAAAGATCAAAAGAATACACAATGCAGATTTATTTTCACAGCCTTCTTTGATTATATTTACAAAGGGCGCCAATAATTTTGACTATGAATCTGAAGGGTCAAGGTTTAGCTAGTTATCCCCTACTGGTAGATGTCATAACTACACCATCTGGCTGCATCTTTCTCCATTTATGGCCATTGAAAAGTTGGCTTGTATTCAGTAAAAACAAAACAAAACAAAACAAAACAAAATACCACAGCTAACACAAGTACCTTTATCTATCTTAAGACATTTTTTAGGTTTTCTAAAACACACTACTTTCTTACACAACCATTTAAAGGTACTCTATTGATAGCTAGCAGTTGAAGGCGTACTTCAGTCCAAATTCAAAATATTGAATTTGAAAGTCTGTATATGAATATTTATTTTTGGCTAGCTATGGCTATGTCCAACCAGTCCCGAATGTCGTTTTTTATGTGTTTGGTTTCAGTTTGGGCAAATTAAAGAAGATGTTATCACCTGCTGGCAACAAAATCTCTGAATGCGTTATCCCCTCGGCTAATGACTGACTTAGCACTTTGACGTGGCTGGGATGCTAATGATGGAGCAATTACGGTGACAGAGCTGCTTTTGTGAGCGGGAACTCGCCTGACACTTTATTAACAAAGATCTTCATTCACAGCTTATTAGCTGAACTCTCTGAGAGGAATATATTACTGACCTTTGTCAAACTAAATCTACCTGTCTCACACGTCGACCGTGAAGATAGAGAGAGAGGAAAATAAAGAGGTGCAGGCTTCTCTCTGAGAAGCTAAATTCTTGCTTACTAGTAGGAGTCAGGAATTGAGTCAATAATTTGTATCATTCTGGCATTTGCTTCAGGAAGGCTGAGTGCAGTTGCGGGTGCATTATGAAGTCCGTACATATTTTCCTCCCAAATGATGGACCACTACCTCTGCAATTCAAAATACTCAAGACACGCTGAACAGAGGAATGTGGGTTTTGTGGATGTGTGCTTGTTGACTCACGGTATTGTAGATCTGTTTGTGGGGAGGTCAAGCAGGACAGGAGGTTCAGCTGTTTGAGAGGGGTCATCTGTCTGCGGCGTGTGTGATACGGAGTCCCGAACACCTGACAAAACACAAGATGAGTTCAACTTGTGCACAAGAATAAATATGCCACACATCTGAGAGGAACACACACTAAGTGCATTCTTGACTTTTTGACAAAGCTCATTAAGTAATCACTTAAAGATATCTCACTACTGCATACATAGAACATTTATGAGTAATAATGCATAAGTAAAAATGAAACTAATCTAATGAGCAAAATGTTTAACAACCAACAAAGTGCACATGTTCAATCCAACTTTGTTCCAAATCAATTTAATCCTCATGTTCTGCTTGGGAACCCCAAGGCCCTTTTGATTTATAATCATATGAGAACTTATTATAAATGACTTTTTGCCTTAAAAACACACATGCATTATGTCCTCCATCAAAAAATTCAGTACAAAATGTATGATGGGGGCCCATCAAGTAACCTTAGACACAAAACATGATCAAATGCAATTCACTTTCATTCTGAACATTTTCTGGTTATACAGAGACTTTTGTTTACACAAATATTTAACTAGTTAGTATATTTCTAGTGTGCACAGAAGTCAATTATCTATTTGGATTTGTTCACACTGTACAACGTTTTTTTTTTCTGGGGTCAAATTGACCTCACAAACAAGCAATTAAGTTTTACAACAGAGGGTTAAAGCTTCAATAATTTAGAGTTTTGATTTAGAGGAACATATATTAAAAAAATATATGTCCTATAAAAACACATGAAATAATCAGGAAACTAGGACTATTCTTTAGTTATCAGTTATCTTCTTTTTTGTCTTTTTGTAAATCAATTGTTAATAGTATTGAGCTATAAAATCGATGTGGATAGCATAGCTCAGATAATTTGGTCTTTGGAGAATGCTTATTTCAGTTCATATTGAAATGTCTGAGCACAGCTCGAGGCATTATTGAAATCTTTTCTGAAACACAAAAAAGAGACGCCGAGATTACTGGGGGGTTTTTTTCAAGAGAAAAGAATTTGAATGTAAAATTAGAGGTTAATTACAAAATACTATCATTATTATTTTTATGAGTAGCCTACATCACAATGGTCTCTGAGCCTCAAAACTAAAGACAGTAAACAGTAAATCCCAATAGAACATGATGGTTAATTCTTTGGGGAAAAGGACTGGTTTTGTATGTACACACTCATTATTTTGCAGAAACTACACATGCATTTATTAAACGCTTGGCCAGTGTTCATCACATCGAGTTCCAGAGCTCATGGCACTATTTGCTTGAGCCAATCCTGATCTTTCCATCCCTCTCCTTAAATGTTTCTCTATCTCTTTGCTTCCCATGCTTATTTGCAGCGCCGTGCGGCATTCTGCATGTTGATTTGCAGGGTCCAAATCATGGTGATGACCAATTAATCCCTGTGCTCCTAAGTCTGACTCAACACAGCCATGTAATTAAATCAATAGTTCCCCTATACAAACCAAATCACTTCTGCTCTGTGCGCCCCTCGTTTAGGGCCTGTTATTTGCCTGGTGGGATCACAGAAAAGGGCAGCCTGCAGAGGGGGCATGCACTGCCAATCACTTTGTTTATACAATTACAATGGGCAGCTAAAAACAAGATAATGTGAGTGCGGAGGGATGGAGGAAAAGTCGAGAACTGTTGAACTTTTTTATGTTAGATTGTGTAAGTCACGTTGCGAACGCACTCCTATAATTACTCACTAAAACACAGACATTAAATAAGCATAAAGAATTAACAACATGAATAGTACGCTACACTCACGTTTTTCTCAGGAACACATCTAATGTTGACGTATAAATGAATATAATAATAATAATAATTTGAATATATTTAAATTAATATATAATTATATTAATATATAATTTATAAACATATTAATTATATATAAGTACTAGAACAAAATCAGTTATTGTAGTCAGTTTTATTTTTTTGAAATTGTATTTAAATTGACTATAATAATAACATTAATATTTGAATAAAATGAAAATAAATATTGAATATATAATAATATATTTATATTATTCTGATATGAATGTATTAGAATTAAATAATAGAATACAATAATAGTTATAATGTTTTATTATAAATACATTTTCATCAAAATAAAATTGACTACAATAAATGAATATGACATGATGAAATAGACTGAATTTTTAAATTAGGACTAAAACAGAAAACTGTATAAAAATGAACACTGGCTGCATCATTTATATCCGAGCACTCAGATGGGCCCATTATGCATTATGAAGATTTGCAGGCTTTTTTGCAGGGTTACCCGATTCTAGTTCTGATTCTACCCGATTCTAAAGCGATGCAGACAGCGCATGTAGCAGCGCTATCAGCAGGCACAACTCATTCTTTGTGTCATCCTTGTGTGTTTACTGTTGACAGATTACAGCATCTATCTGTCTGTATGTCTTGCAGAGAAACTGCGTCTTCAAGTTGTCGCTACTTGTCACTTTTTGCTGCTTCAACAATGCCAAGGCATCTGAGATGATAGCAGGGTGTCCGTGTTTGATTGAGGATCTCAGCTCACACAGCTTGCCACAGTGCCTGTTTTCAGTTAACTGATGGAGAGGGAGGAGGAAAGAAAGAAACCAGACGTGACCAAGGGGCGGACTTTCTTACCGTAAAGCTGCCAGACACGGACCTTGTCTTCGTACGGGAGGTTGTACTTGAGCGGGTCCCCTACTGGCCCTTGGTAGTAAGGGCGCATGATGGACTCAATGGCAGAGGTGTGTGCGAGCCCTATGGCATGGCCAAACTCATGCACCGCCACTGCGAAAAGGTCCATGCCGTGGGAATCTAAAGAGAAAAGACACAATAAAAAAAAAAAGAAATGTTAGAAAGAAAAGTCTTTTCTTCATAATAACAAACCAGTTCAAGATAGTAATGCTTATTCGAAATGGGGTCCGGATATGACCAGGGGGCCACAAGAGGGTGAAAAGTTAAGATAAATTAGATAGACAGACAGACAGACAGACAGACAGACAGACAGACAGACAGACAGACAGACAGACAGACAGACAGACAGACAGACAGATAGATAGATAGATAGATAGATAGATAGATAGATAGATAGATAGATAGATAGATAGATAGATAGATAGATAGATAGATAGATAGATAGATAGATAGATAGATAGATAGATAGATAGATAGATAGATAGATAGATAGATAGATAGATAGATAGATAGGCAGGCAGGCAGGCAGGCAGGCAGGCAGGCAGGCAGGCAGGCAGACAGACAGACAGACAGACAGACAGACAGACAGACAGACAGACAGACAGACAGACAGATAGATAGATAGATAGATAGATAGATATTGTGCGTTGTGTGGGAGCTAATATAGATATTGTTATAGTTATAATTTTTGATGTGAACGCCCGTTAAGTTAAATGAGCTTTAAGAGAAAAATAGTCAAAAAACATAAAATCAACTAAAAAAAGTTAAATAATAATACATTAAAATTGACAGAATTTTGACATCATTAAAATGCACAAATTATTTTATTTTATTGATGGCCATTGTTCTAAATTTCTCTTCAGGTTTATACATTTAACAGTACTGAGGTGAGTAGAAAAAAGAAGATTTATCCATTATAAAACTATGTGGTTAGCAAATCTCACATAATGAAGAATTTGATGAGATATCTGACCTAGCAAATCTGAGCACAGTTTGAGGCATTATTAAGAAACAGATGAGGAGAACGATCTGAGAAGCACAAGACCTCAGCAATTTGCTTTCCATGCAATCTAGGAGAAAGAACAAACTAAACAGATTTCTTTTGCGATATTTCTGTCCTATTGAACATCAAATACCTTGTTTCATAAGGAAGACGACATCCAGTGCAATTATGTCCTGGAAATCATGGTGATTAAATTGGGAATAGTTCAGGATGTCCACCCACATTGTCATTTTCAACACAATGAGCTTGTGATTGACAGGGAGGACTGCGCCATTAAACGTTACTCACCTTTTTCATTATCTCGCTTTAGTACACAGACAGATCTGTGCGATGCAGCCAGCCATAAAATAACATTCACACTTTTCTGTTAAATGGCCCCTAGAGATGGCAACAAAAATGCAGCCAGGGCCAGGAAAGTGTCATTGGATTAGTTTGAATAGAGAGAGAGACAAATAGACAGGAAGAGTTTTATAGATATATAGACAGACCGAGAGAAAGGTGAGCAGAGCCATGGGGCTCTACAAACTGTGAACATGTCAAAAAGCACAACAGCTGTCTTATGCTGCAGGTTTGTATAAGCAGAACATAGCTATTCAAGCTTCTCTGAGCAGAACCGAGGATTAAATCAGTGACTTGCTCATTAAGATTACGACTCAAAATGAGCCGCGTATCACTAACGGGGCTCGACACCCTCGTTTTTGCATTAGCATAATGCATAAACACCCCTTATTCCGACTGTGGACTAATATTAGAAGGCAGAATTTTTTGATTAATTCGAATGTAATGTTTTGCTACAATTTTATTATTTTTAAATCGAGAAATTGCGGGTTTGAATACATTTTTTAGCAAACGTTACAATTAGACAGGTTGACAGTTAAGAGAAGAAAATGATCCGACTAAATGATGGTGCACCTGATTAACCGATCTTGTGTGGCGCGCTCAATGAACGTAGAAGACGTTCGTTTTAAGCAGCTGTTCACAAAGAAAAAGCGTTGGAAAAAAACAAGACGTGGGCAAAAAAAGCTAAGTTATTAGATATTTAGTCATTAGTTATTTTTCTTTTATTTGAGCGCCACGTTTTTAGAATACCGTTTTTAATGGGTGAGACGCTGAAAAAGACGTGAGACACGAGTGCAACAGACAAACACGTCTGCCAAGCATAAACACAACAGAAAAATAGCTAAATGGAATGTAAAGAACTACTGTTCAAATAAATGTTTGATATTTCATGTTTGTATGATGGTGACAGGCTGAAAGGTGCTGTTATTTTCTGTTTTTACAAAGCATTTAATAGACTATTACTGGTGTTATACTTTTAGTCATTTTGAATTTGAATAGCCTTGACTTTATGGCTAAGAAATATTTAGAATTTTTTTCTAGTAGTATATAGGATATGTTTGAGATAAGTTTATACAATATTTGCCTTCATATTTCATTTTTGCAAAGATATTTAACATATGAGTAATTTGTTTTGATCACTTCAGGTGTGGTGCACTTGGAACAGAACTTTTTTTAACCAGATGGTTAATAAAGAGAATGCTACTTGAATCATATTGTAGGTATGTTTTTAAGTTGACTAGTTAAACATCGAAATTGTAAATCGAGAATTTTTTTTTTGCCACATCGCCCAGCCCTAGCTAGTCTGCTTACAAACGGATCCATGTAAACGGAGCTATATTGTTTACTGATCCCTCATGTTGTTTCAAACACATATGACATTCTTTCTTTTGTGTAACTCAAAAGAAAACCTTTTTTACACTGTTATTTTTTATATAACCAATATGCATTGAAGAAAGGCATGAGGATGAGAAGTAAGTGACAATTTTTTTTTATTATTTAGGTGCACTGTCCCTTTAAGACAACACACATTCTGAGGAAGAATCATGCCTGATGAGTTTTGCCTTGTGTCTGGTTAGCAACCCTCGTTTCTAATCGCTAGAGGCTGATTTGTTTAGCACAAGCTAGCGATTCATCCAGATGAACTTTGCGCCGATCAGAGTCCAAAGGAGGAGATGCGGCGGATGACAGATGGATCTGAAGCAATCTGATTAAGACCTTACGCACTGGAAACATCTGGTGCATGGCAGCCTAAAGCAGCGAGCTGAAGGTGTCTGTCACAGATGACTGAAATAAATGAGTGTAAACTATTTTAAGACTGAAATGTAGCCTTTGCATGTTAAGAATTTGGCCCTGGATTTCAAAAGCTTGTTTGAGTGAAGGCTAGGGTATTAAAGTACCTTCTGTTCAGTAAACAAATACATGTGTTTAGGATTATCAGATCAGAATGGCTTTAATGGAATAGATCACTGAAAATTTCGAATCTGTCATCAATTACTCACCCTAATGTTCTTTCTTCTGTGGAAAAACTGTACTGGTCGCTCTTTTTCATACAATTACATTATTGCAATGCATTTTGGTGCATGGCTTTCAAGCTTCATAAAGGTGCAAAAGCACAATAAAAGTGTCTCAAATGTAGTCCATATGAATATAGGGTGAATTCAGGTTGATTGGGACACTTTTTGCCATTGAGTGGGAAAACTCAATCAACCTGAATTCACCCCTATTGATGTGAGTCATTATTCAATTAAATTCTTGTCTTTTAATTGTAAAGAAATCAGTAAGATTTAATCATTCTTTTGAGTCGGATCCTTTCAATGAATTAGTTAATCTAGTTCACAAAACACATCTGAAAGACTCGTTCATGAATAATGTAGTCGTGGTTTCAGAAGACTTGAAATATAGCTATAGAGTGATAAAGACTATTTTATAATGCTTTTACGTCCTGTTTGAAGCTTTAAAGCGTTCCCTTTAATTACAACTGCATGTAAAAGAGTAGCCTAGCCAGTTGATATACATTTCTACTTTTCTGTTATTCAGAAAAAGACATTCATGTTTTGAAGGACATGAGGGTGAGTAAATAATGACAGTATTTTCACTTGTGGTTGAACTAATCCTTTAAAGTCACTGAAGCATAGGCAGAAAGTTGATGATTTCTTAAAATAACCTTCTTCATGAAGGTAAAAGAGCACTCTCTCTCTCTCTCTCTCTCTCTCTCTCTCTCTCTCTCTCGCAGTGTGTGCGCAGAAAGGAAATCAACGATAGTCACTGCTAATGACTGGTGGTTCGGTAAAATGGACGATAATGGACCAAGGTCTTCTGCCTCATTTTGTCATACACACAAAAAGATGTGGACACGCACACAGACATTAAATTCAATGGTGATTCACAGGCTTGGGCCAAATTGCGAAAAGTTTATCAAAAAACCACCTGCTTAATGAGCCTTTTGTTTGGGCCACAATAATCAGTCTGCATTAGTGAGCAGCCAATGAAGGCATAATTAATAAAAGCAATCTGCCCGCTGTCATAACAACAGCTAGAGACGCTCCTGTGATTCCACTCTTATTCTGACCCATGGGAACATGGGACGCCTCCGCTGCTGTTGCAACAAGTATGACGATACCCGCAATCTCAAAAGAAGCGTTTTGAATTCTGTTAAGAGTTAATCTGAACAAATAGCAGAACTTCCTCTTTCCTGTTTCTTTCCGTTGTTCCCTCAAAGAGAAAGTTCTTGTTATGTCAAAAACAATATGCTTACAGGTCTCCAGACTGAGCTGGAGGGAGAGAGAAACAGGGAAAAGGGAAGTACGTTTACTCACCCTCTGTTTGCATGATAAAGCTTGTCTTTTTTTAAGGAGTTCAATCAGCTGAGCCTCTAAGATTTATATTCCTTATAAACGGGAGGATTTTATCTTAGAAATAATTCATTTTAAAGTTTCAATGTGAGAATGTAAATTTTTCTTTCTACTGCGTAATGCTTTAAGATGTAATTTGAAATTACATTTATTTCGAATTAAAGTGTCTAATATATATAGTGTTCTTTAAATTAATAGCACTGAAATTTAACACCGAATTCGAAACCAGAGTGCAAGTTTTTATCTGTGGATGCATTTACACCCTTTGGCAGCACACATACCGTAAACTACTAAACTCTTTCCAGTTCTGCTTACAGGTTCATCCTCACCTTCGAAATAAAACATCCAGGTCTTTATTTTAGCATTACTCCATGTTTCGTCACTCTTAAAGGTACGTTGGCAATGTTTTTCATAAACACTTGTTTTTTTCGGTTGAAACTTTCTTCACATCTTGCAATCAATAATAGAAGTGGTCTAAATAAAAAAAACATTTTCTGGTTGGTATATGGAAACAACAAACACAACTGCACAAACTGAAAGATTAAAAAGTATGACACATATTATGCGATTCCTCTATATCTAGCTGAAGATTTAGTCAAGGTATCAAACCTTGGTATGGCCTAAACACTGTTTATCTGTTATACCAACGCTATCTCACGACCAATTCGTCCGAATTTGACGAGTGATTAAAAGATGGCTAATTCGTACGAATACGTACGACCTCATTCGTACGAATATGTACGATTTTACTTCTATTCAGCAAGGATGCATTACATATTTAAAAAAGACATTTATAATTTTACAAAATATATGTATTTCAAATAAATGCTGTTATTTTAAAATTTCTATTCATTAAAAATCTTTACAAAAATGGTTTCCACAAAAATATTAAGCAGCACAACTGTTTTCGACATTGATAATAATAAGAAATGTTTCTTGAGCAAAAAATCAGCATATTAGAATGATTTCTGAAGGATCATGTGACACTGAAGACTGGAGTAGTGATGCTGAAGATAGTTTGTACTACATTTTTTATTTAAAAAAAATTTGAGCATAAGAGACAAAAAAATCTTACTGACCCCAAACTTTTGAACAGTGGAGTATGCATATTAAAAAAATTGATTTTTCTCATTAGATAGTCTCAGAGGGCAGACGGAAAGCCAAAAATAACACAGTTAATCAGGACATTTTTGGCTGATGTAGAAATCTTGGGCCTGTTACAACGGCCCATAATGAATAATGACGACTCAGGAATAATTGATGACCATATGGGAGGTCCAGGTGCAGGTGCTCATTAGATGGACAGCTAATGAAGCGAAAACATGGAAATGGCCGTGTTATGGTGAAGGGTCAGTTGAACACACACGAAGAGGTGGAGGGCTCGTCTTCAGCAGTACTGAGAGATGAAGGAGGGGTGCAGCGCTCAGCTGTGTATGTCGAGACTGTGTAAGTGGGTGGTGAAAGGCTTGTGATTTTTAAGTAGGACTTTTCCCTCCCTAATTCTCTCTCTCTCGTTCTCTCTCTCATCATTCAGTCCCTCATATTACATCCGCACCTGCCAAAGGCCTAAGCAAACAGCTGCTTGTCTGATGGGGGGGCCTAATTGGGGCAGACTCCACTGCTGTCCATGAGCATATGGACCATAGCCACAAGAGAGCAGAGTTGGGATGCAAAGGGTCGTTTGAACCAATCCTATCAGAGTTCACTCACTGGGCAGGTTTGTGTAATGGGAACCCCACCTGCCCCCATGCTAATTATCAGCCTTATGGTTAGCGCAGCCTCTCGGCAAACATGTGCACCTTTGGTTTGCATCCTGGAGATGGTCGAGCCAGGTTATGGCTCAAGAGAGAAGAATGAGGAACTGAGATAGACTACAGCATCTGTTGCTTTCAGACAGGCCTTGCCTCCCGGGCTCCAGATCCTGTTTTGGAATACCGCACAAAAAATGTCTCTATTATCTGACAGACATCACTGAAAAAGTTATCCTGAGAAATTACGCCTGCTTCTAGGACAGTCCCAGACAGAAAAAGAGTCAGGGGAGTGGACAGCAGTCTTTTTAGCTTGTCAGATCCAATCAGAAACAATCTCTACCTGTCTACCTGTACATTTCACATCTTTGACATTATATATATAAAAAAATAAAATACATGTACCGTACACAAAAATATATAAAAAGAGACTTCGTACCTGGCGACCTGAAGGTCCAGGCTTCATCATCATCAAAGTGTGTGTCGCCAGCTGTGAATCGTTCTCCGGGAAAGAAGGCGTGGGCCACTGTGCCACCGGGTCCATCAAAAGGGTATCCGTCATTATGGTCCGCTTTGGTGAAGTCAATCTGAATGTCTGCCTCATTCCCCGCCACCTCATGGAAGTTGAGTGGCGCGATGTCACTCCACACTTTCAGTGCGTAGTACATGAGCGCCCGCACCGTGTCTCGACCTAGCAAAACTGACTCCTTTGGAAACGTCCTCACCCTGTGAGAGCAGAAACATGAGTATATGTTTGAAACTATGGCTTGAAATAGACAAGAATCCCTTTGTAGGACCACCGACAGTGCAAGAAGATAAATTCCACACTGCTTTTGAATGCATAAATAGGACAAGGCATGCAGCAGGCTGTCAAAAGCAGCTCTAAAATCCTGTCTCGCGGCTCTTTCTAACTCAGAATTACTTCCAAGGTAATACATTTAGGATACACAACAGTTACAACACATCTTCTTCCCATCTTCCTCTTTTCTGTTTCACTCAAGGTAATTCGGAAACAAGTAAGTGTGATTTGGAGGTCCACTACACCCCACAATCATGGTAATCACTTCCAAGGACAATTTGAGCCCTCTTTCCAAGTACAGACAAAATTCGATGAGAAATTAATTTCAAAGTGCCAGCTCTGTAAGTGCCCACTAAGAAGTGTGCCTTATGCACAGAATACACTTATCCTTTCTGCACAAGCACCGGGTTCAGGCATTCTATTACATGTGCAGAACATCTTTGGGTGCTGGTAACATATTTGCACCGGTTGCTCAAGGTCAATATGTAAATTCAGTCAAGTTCTATGGCAGTTTAGGTGGTAACAGCTGGTTCTACAATGAGTTTACAGTCAGGTTGATTCAAATGGAAAGCAGGAGATGCACAATAGTGCTGTGCCAAGGTCAACGCTGCCCCCAGCTGAATTTACAATGAGCTAAGTGACCTCCTTGTGTGCTAACATTCTCCATGTGATGTGCTACACTGTGTGTACATTAATTCATCTCACCCCAATGCTCTTCTGCTTGACTTGTGCCAGATATGCCGTTAACCCCCTAAGTATTTCACATGCAAATCTAAAGCTTGAGAGGGAATTTAAGGTGAAATACTGTACAATTTGTGCTCATGTTTATGGTGTAGCCTATAAAATTTGAAAAAAAAATATATAAAATAGAAAAGACAAAAAGATATAGTATAGAAAACAGCATATAAAGTATATTATATACATATTTGTATATTATGCAGTTGTAATCAAAATTTTTCAACCCCCATTGCAAATCTGGTTTATTGGCAAAATGTACAGACTTCCAGCTGTTTGCAATGAACAAATCAAACACAAGTCATTTAAACAGCTCAACAACAAATGTTTCAAATGGTTTCCCCAAATTCAACTGAAAATGTACTTTTAACCCCTTTACACGTAAGTTTAAATATTCTAGCTGAGCCCCCAGCGTGAGTTTTTTAAGGCGACCGTTATTTTAGAATGTATCACTTTAATATCCCCATGGAAATATGGATTAATCCTTTTTAAAGCTACAAACGTTATTCAGTCAAGAGCAGTGAGCAGTGCGATTTTCTCTTTGTCTTTTGTTGTTTGATTAACATTTATGACAGACTGCAGCAGGAATATTAGGCTTGACGCGGATCTGTTGAACTCGATGTTCATTTAAGACTTTTCAACTAATTTAAGACTGCTTATGAGGACACTCGCCAAAAAATGGCATTTTGACATAATTGTGTGTCTTTTTGTCTGTTCAGGTTTACATTCAATTAGTTCAGTTTGCCCTGTAAGTATACAATGGCCTGATATGGTCACATGCTATGGTCACATACTGCTGTGGTAGGAAGCGAGTATGAATTTCAAGTTCAATTTTCTATCCATTTTCGCCATAATGTGCCCTTAGCAGGGTTTCAATAGACGGCCGGCATAAATTAGAGAATAATCAAGGGAGTTTTTTTTTTCCATGTCGTCTGGTTATTATACAGGCACTAGCAGTGGCAGCTGACCTGAAAGCCTGACAAAGTGCCTCTGGGAAGATTGGCCATCCCAGCAGCATGTAAACGCTCAAATGTTGAAGCTTAATTTTCAGTTACAATCCCCCTTCTTTGTCTCCATGATACAAGACTGATTAGGCAGACAAGAGGGGAAATGGATAAAAAGAGAGAAAATGGCAAATAGAAATCAGGGGGAGCAAGTTCAAAAGAACTCATTTCCTCTATTCTGTTGTAATTCTCACAGCGGGTCTTACCCCTGCAGATCAGTGGTCCAGACAGGACATTTACAGTATGGTGATAATCACACATCAAATCAATCCTCCACACTCACAACTAGGCAGTGAGAGTGATGCACAGCCAGATGGGTGTTTTAAAGGAATGATTCCTCAAATTCACTCTTAGAAATAAAGGTTGATGGGTGTAGGGAAACTCGGGATTATTCCAATTAGCTCAGATACAGGGAATATAATTTTAATAACTAATCATGAAACATGATCGGGAATCACCTACAAATTATAAAATTACCCGTAAGGGAATAAGTTGCCAATGTTCTGTATGAACGATTGAATGCAACGAACACTTGTACTATCAACAATCAATCACAAGAATTATAATTAAATATTAATATGTCAATTGTCTAAAATAGACCGATTGTCAGGATAATCTTTAAGGGGATTAATTTATGATCGAATCATCTGCTTGTCCAGCAAACCTGATCATTCGATCTCCACCAAACCTTACAAAATTATCCTCCTTTATAGACTTTCAAGAGAAGCTATTCCTCTGGCCACGAGGATAAACTTTCCTGTTCTTAAAGCTGCAGTAGGGAGTTTTGAGAAAACGTTGACTTAGCCTGAAAATTTGAACAAGCACAACTTACAGGTCCCACCCCCTTTCTCTTTGCTGCGCTACAGCCCTCCCTCCACAGCTCGTCCTCCACAGCGGAGCCTGTCGTGAACGCGCAGGCTAGTAAACAGGGTCACCGATAACAGCGGATAAAAAGTTATATGGCACATTCACTAATAGGGACTAAACGTCAACAATATGCTTTACATTGACTATGGCCTGCCCATACTTTGACTACAAACTTGGTCCTCAAATCAAATCATTATGTATTTTGCAATACATGTAACTTTATAACGTTGCACTCTTTCTATAAGTTATAAATAGCTAGTAAGATAACGTTAATATAACGATATATAATGCTAGATAAGGTGTGCTAGTACATTATTTCAGCAACATGACAAGCCAGTGAATTAGCAGGTTTCAATTGTTGCTTAGCAGAGTGCGTGACATTTTATCTAGCACTACATGTTATGCGGCTAGAGTTTTGACACCGAGTCAATGGGCTCTGTGTAATTCTTTCTTTTTCGCTTGTTTATCGTCATCAGTCTTTTTCCTTTTACCTCTTTGTTTTATGAGCAGGTGTCACTCGAGAATTGGCAGTTTAGGTTGTTTCTCCGTCATAAGCACAGCTGCAGCACGCCGGCAATCTTGAGTTTGAACGACAGCTCGCGCTCCGGCGCTCGCGCTGTGCAAGAGAGGGGTGTGATCAGCGCGTACACGAGCGTGATTGACACTGCTAAGACATTCCTCCTGGCTCTGATTGGTTGTTTCTGACCGGGAGCGTGTATTTCTGCAAATGGCAATAGGACCACTGGGAGGAGCCAGAGGAGCTTGATTTTTACACAGATTATCTGTCTCATGTTCTACTGTCAGGACATAATGACAGTTTTAGCAAATACATGTTTTCAAAAGTTACCTACAGGAGCTTTAACAATACCTTTTTAAGTATCAATAAATTTGTAAAGCACGTAGCTTTGATCGCAACATTAAAGGGACTTTGAAATGTGCACGAGACAGTCAATCAAATGAATATAATGTATTTAATAAAATGAAAATTACGTATACATGGAATAAATGTACGTTATATACAAACAATACTAAAGCAACAAGACACTGAAAGAAACTGAAAGTGAAAGAAACAGGGAGAGAGTGAGAGAGAGATCCTGAAGGAGAGTGGCAAATTACAGACCGTAAACCCTTGAGACAGAGAGACACCAAGATATCAAATCATAAACGCATTAAAGCTCGATAACATGAATATACTTGCATATATGGTTCTCTTATGTTGCTGAACAAGGGTGCGTGAGTGAGCGTCTTCTTGTGTGTGGCGTTCCGTCGGAGGGTCACGTGGTCTGCGGATGGTCCGGAGCGTGCACTTTCAACGAAGGTTTAAAGGTCTTTGACGTAAAGTTACCAAAGAAACAATTCAGGCTAAGTTCATTACTCGTCTATGGAAATGAACAAAGTAGAATACGAAAAGGAAAAACAAAACTTAACAAAATAAAACAAAAGACTAAGACTAAAAGGAAAGGAAAGGACAAACTGGAGACGTCCAGGAATTCCTTCTTGCCGGAAACGGGGAAGGTTTTGAGATGATAACGTCTGTGTGAAGCTGGCTCATCGCTGGTTTTAGGGGTGTTTTGTTTTAACTCACGTTCGCCATGAAAGTGTCAATGAACGCCATTAGGAACAGACTTTCTGGTGCTCGCTGGTGAATTACTAGACACGAGTCAAATGTTAAAAGCTTTTCCCCAAACTTAGAATGGTTAGGTCATGTGAGACTGTCCAGATACCCTTCATGGGGTTCTGTATAACAAAGGGTTCTTGACTCAATTTTAAAGAATCCATAATGCCAAGATGATTCTATATATTAAGGAGAAATGTCTTAAATTATTGAATAATACGTTCACGTTTAACGGGATATTTCAATTTATTCTAGTGATAAAGTATATTTACGAGCTGTATTTAAATTTAAAATAAATTAACAAAAATAAATAAATTAAAACTAAATCCATACAATGATCCCATGATGAGAACCTTTTCTAGAGTGTAGCCTTTGTAAAATTCTGAAACAGAAATATGTAATTTGTTATTCACTGAAAATCTTTATATGCACCATGAGATTTAAAACAAAGAAGTATCATTATCCAATTTATGAATTAATCATTCCTTTGAGTAAAATATTTTCAATGAATCAAATGATCCATTTTACAAAACCAGTCTGATTTGGTTCTTGAATGCAACTCACTGACTCAATGATTCGCAGTTGTTGAAAACTTGATATAGTGTATGAATCATATTGGACCACTTTTATGATGCGTTTGCATCCTTTTTGAAGCTTGAAAGTTCTGGACTCCATTTATTATAACTGAAAAAGAATTTTGTGTTTT